TCCTGGGGTCCCACCTCGCACACCCGGGCGACCACCACGGGAGTGGACGAGCTGGCCTGGGCCGCCAGGAGCTGCAGGGGGCTCGTGAGGGCTGCGGGGAGCGAGAGAGGTTACTGATGGGACCAGCGCTCCCAGCAGCCCCGGGCCAGCCACCCACCTGCTCCCATCTCAGCTGGACTTTCCTTCCCGTGAACACCCCACCTTAACCCTGAGGGGTGCACTGTCCCTGTCTACTCCAGTACCTGCCCACTCCCCCTCCTCTGCCTTCCTGAGCACCTGGCTGAGAACCGAAGCCCTCAGCCCTCAGCCCTCAGCCCTCAGCCCTCAGCCCCGGTCCCCACCACGTGTGTCTGTCCGATGCCCCTGCCCTCTCAGCCAGCGGTGTGAGCTCTGCGACGGGGACTTTGCTTAGTGTTACAGTGCCCGGTGCTTAGCAGCTGCTCAGCTGGTGGATGCCGACCGGCTGCCGGGATGGCCTGGGAAAGGGGCCCCTGGGCACTGACTGTGCCTGAACCCCGGGCTACAATGCGGCACGAGGGCGGCAGGGCCTCACCGTAAGCGCTGCCGGCTACACTATTGGTGGGGACCGCATGCCTTCCGTTTTGCGTGACGGCCCGGACCGGAAGAGGGTGCTGCCCGATGCTCACGGGTGTGGCCGGCTGCAGGATGGTGACCGTGTGCCCGGGGACGCCAGGGGCCATCTGGCTGGCCACCGTCTGGATGACTCGGCTGGTGGCGGGGATGGTGGCGAAGGCAATGGTGGGCTTCTCCTCCAGGCCTAGGGAAGAGCGCACGTCAGGGACCGCCTCGCCAGCGGGCGGCCGTGGCCATGGCTGCGGGTGTCAGGCACTGACACTGGGAAAAGCCATCGGTTCCCAAAAGGAAGATCGCACCGAGGAGGTAAGTTTTAAAACAACAGGAAAGCGATTCACAGCATTTTAAACACACGTGTAACCGTCACACTTTACTGCCAGGGCGACCGAGGAACAGGACAGTTAAACACACGTGTAACCGTCACACTTTACTGCCAGGGCGACCGAGGAACAGGACTGTTAAACACACTGTAACGGTCACACTTTACCGCCAGGGTGACCCGAGGAACAGACTGTGAAACACACGTGTAACGGTCACACTTTACAGCCAGGGTGACCAGGAACAGGACAGTTAAACACACGTGTAACGGTCACACTTTACTGCCAGGGTGACCGAGGAACAGACTGTGAAACACACGTGTAACGGTCACACTTTACAGCCAGGGTGACCAGGAACAGGACAGTTAAACACACGTGTAACGGTCACACTTTACAGCC